CAAGGGCTACTTACAGTTTGTCACAAATATGCGGTGGTTTTGAAAGCCGTTTACCACTTTTGATCATCTCAAGGACTTCAATTCCTCTCATATCAGCATATGGTCGACCACCTAAGATAATATGGCAAAATCCTCAATCTTTCGTTCGTGCATGTTTTTAGTTTTCGACGTCAGTCAACGGAACATCCAATTTTATATTGCTCGACTGACCCCTCTATGATTGAGTACTAGTGGCACTTTTGGTATTGTATGATGATCAAAATGAAAGGCCAAACGTCTATGAGTGGCATATAAATGAATAAATCCTTACCTAATGTGAATATTTCATAGAGAACAACTCCAAAACTCCAGCTGGAAACCAAGTGAAGCACATACAAAAGTGTTGACGACAAAAAAATTGAATAAAGAAAAGAAAAGAAAAGAAAGAGGAACAAGGAAAAGGAAAAATGGAAAAAAAAAGAAACAAGAAACAGATTAGAAACTCACACGTCACTCTTCGTTGTGTATTTCTGATAGAGAAGAGATTCTAGTGACATCCATTTCACAGGCAACAGGCCCTGAAAATATAAGAACATGCTCGATAAACATTATCATTGACGTTGGGATTGAACTTCATTATTACGGCATCACATCACGATGAGCACTTTAAGTCTTTACTTACATTTGTTCTTTTAGTGTAAATGTCTTGGTTATTCAGTACTCTTGCCATTCCAAAATCGGTGATTTTACAGCGAAGTTTATCACCWACAAGAACGTTCCTTGCAGCAAGGTCTCGATGGACAATCTATAATGAAAGGKAAACCTTTACCTTAATCCACTGATTGTTTGTCTCTGCAGCGTGAGAAATACTAATACCTTGTTCTCAGAGAGGAAGTCCATTCCTCTTGCCACATCAAGAGAGAAGCTGAACAGCTGCTTTGCATCGATGACTTTAGGGCTTTTGATTTCTCTACTGTTGTAGTACGTGTCGTCTTCACCTCGCCCTTTTCTGAGGTAACCAAGTAGATCACCGTATGGGACAAGCTCTAAGAACACCATCGGAGGGTCTAAAATAATACAACAATTTTATAAAAGGACAAATTCTACACATCATCCTCAAAAAGGTTTTTTGTGATACTTGGTCGAAATGCACTGTGGGCATTGACACATACCCAGAGTGATTTTCTCTCCGACAACATTTTTGAAATAGTTGTATAACATGGAGACTAAATTGAATCAACACAATAGAATTCTATTTCTTACAGAATGTCGCTCCATTACACTTTACAGCTGAAGTAGTGATGCATCCCTTGAGTTTGACAACATTCGGGTGAGTTTTTAATGACTTCATCACTTCAAGTTCAGAAAGCAAGTCTTTTTTATCTAATGGCGACGCGTCCGCTGGGAAGAAATCATTTGGAATCAATTTAGAAAGACAAAAACAAATATAAACCAATTGAAACAATCGCTGAGATTCACGTGACTAAAGAACGGCGACGCCATGTTTGTAACATGAACCATAAGAATGGTATCGATGAGAAATGTTTATGAAAGAAACATGGCCGGCTTCTGCTAATATTTCTTTTAAGAAAGCGAAATCATGAGTTTGGGCCTTCTCACCATTCAGCATTTTGACAGCAACAGCCTTCCCGCATATCGATCCTTTCCATACTTGACCAAACGAACCCGATCCAATCCTCATCAGTAGCTTCACATTAGCAGGAGGAATTTCACACTCAGTGACAATTTGTTTTCTGTATAGTTTGGAATATATCCTAGACTCGTCCTCACTTGGTGTTGCCTGTGGTGAACACATTCTGGCCATTTTTGCTTTGTCCCAGTACCCAGAATTGCCTGAGATATCTTTTGATATCTTTTCACACTCAGTAACAGTTTGTCTTCCCCATAGTTTGGAATATAGCCTAGACTCGTCCTCACTTGGTGTTGGCTGTGGTAAACGTTTCCTGGACAGTTTTGCTTTGTCCCAGTACCCAGAATTGTCTGAGATATCTTTTGCCGAGAAGGAATGGGAATTAGAGATTCCCTTAGCCATACCGCTACATGTTGCCATAATATCAGAAGCATCTAGATACAAAAACAAAAACAAACAAAACAAAGTTGAGATTCTGTTTAGCGCTTCTTTATTCGCCCAACGTCTTCAGTATCACAATAACAAAAAAAAGTAAGAAACAAACACGAAAATAAGCATCAGGGTTAAACCATTCAGAATTGGTTATACTTATCCAAGACTTGCTGACCTCACCTTTAGAAGGTTCATCACTTGGTTTCAGTCTCCTCGTTTTTTTCTGAACGTTCTCCCCTACGGCGGCCTGGTGTGTAACACGGGATCCCATGGATTCTATATCTTCGTATAAATGAATTTTATTTTCCCCATCGTCAGCAGAAGATGTCATATCACGTGACATTCCCACATGTGGTAGAGATGGCTGTCTTTCAGTAGTGTGTCCAAATGATATCATGCCAGGTGTTAATGAATGATGAATAATACAAGGAAGCTCAAACTGTCTAAAGTGACTAACTCCCTCGATGACATCTAGACTTACAGGGAATGACGTAGGATCACACTCATCCTGGAGAGGAAATCAATCAGTCAATCAATCAATCAATCGACCAGTCAATCAATCAATCAATGAATCAATGAATCAATCAATCAGTCAATCAATCAATCAATCAATCAATCAATCAATCGATCAATCAATCGATCAATCAATCAATCGATCAATCAATCAATCGACCAGTCAATGAATCCATGCAGCAATCAATCAATCAATCAACCAGTCAATCAATCAACCAGTCAATCAATCGATCCATCAAACAGTCAGTCATGCTATCATCTCACCGTGTCGTTTTGCTCCGTGGACTCATCTTCGTCTTTCATAGATTTCTGTATTGAGCTGATTCTATATCATAAAATTATTTTAGAAAACTGAAAAAAAACTGCGCAACTATATAACTTTACCTCTTGCTCTTGACTTTTCCTATAAAAAAAAACAACGTTTTTTTAACATACAACGGGTGAGCCCTCTTAAAAGTAACTTCAAACAAATTCCTGAAGCAATTATATAGCATCTTGAGTTAACGAAGATTGTTTTTTACCATTTTATATAAAATCAATTCTGAAATAGTATGACAATTTTATTGTTTTGTAAAGTAAAAACTAACGCTAGTAAGTTTGTATTTGTGATCATTTGGCTAAGACTATCCACATGGGAATTTGCTCAATCTTATAATTTAATGTTTTTGAATATATCAATGTATTTCCTCTTGAGAATGACGCCAGATAGCGTCGAAACGTCGAGCCCAAATGATCACAAATACAAACTTACTAGCGTTAGTTTTTACTTTACAAATTAAAACCAAAGCCACACTTATAAAAAATTTATTGTTGGTGATCGAACTACTAAAATAAACCCTTTAAGCAATCTCTTTTACGGTGTGTTGCCTCAAAACCATGTAATAAATTCTTTTATTCACTAACAGCAAGACTGATCCGTGAGTATAGAATACAATGGAAATTGAAATTTCACAAGTTTTATTTAAATTTCTGAATATTTTGCACACAATTTAGACCAACACAGCGTAAAAGATATCGCGAAACTCAACTATTTTGACGATTTGTTGATGTCGATCGTGACCAATGCGAGGACATACCACGAGAAAAGCGTTAAACATATACAATAAATAAGAAGATTTGACTAACTTTTTCGTTTTTTTCTTGTGCAAAGTTTGACGGTAACCATAGCAATCACAAAAGCTGCTACAGCAGTCACCACACCCAAGATGATAATGTATATCAATAGCTGAGGACTCTTTGCTGTTATATTCTTTGACACTGCAAGAGTGACATTCTTTGACACTAAATGAGTTGAACTCTTTGACGCCGCACGAGTTACACTCTTTGACAATACACGAGTCAAACTCTTTGACGTCCCGTGAGTTACATTCTTTGAAACTGGACGAGTTACGCTTTTCAACGTTGTACGAGTTACACTTTTTGACGTTGTGTCGTTAAAAAAGTCTGATCCAGTGGAAACTGAGAAAAGTTGAGAACAGAATAAGGTCGATAGAATTGAATTTTTTAGGCTTTAACTCAGTTGCATATTAAATCCTGGCTCACACGATCAACACAAATGCAAGCGCACGCAATGTAAACGCAACTGCAAATGCACTAGTTGAAATTACACAAATGTAAGAAAATAAAAATAAACATTTGTTTTGCGTTTACATTGCTTTTGTTGCCAGTGTAAACCAGGCTTAATGATTGGCAATAACCTTTTTTCGAAGGTGTTGTAATTGTTGTGGGTTTTGTAGTGTTTTCTTCAACATCTGCAGGAAAATCGATTCATATCAATAATGTAATCTTCCTTCTATCCCACTGGTTCCATGCTGGCTGTTTCTGATCCATTGTTTCTGAACATGATTGTTTTACATCTGTGCTCTGTTTGGTGAAAGTACTAGGCGTTTCCTGCCGTAGAAAGCAACCTGCTACACCCTATTTTTAAACCGTCATACATCATGGGTTACGTACATTGTTGACTTACCAGTTTTAACCGCTATGATAACTTCTCGTTGGTCGGATCCATAGCGATTCACGGCTTTACAAACATACATTCCCTGGCTATCCAATCCAACATTTAGTGAAAGGTTTTCTGACTCTTTCATAGAGTGACTGTGACGGTACCACGTGATAGTTGGTTTGGGGTGTCCAAGGGATCGACATGTTAACTTTACGAGTGTTCCCTCGTTTACTGTTATGTTCTTGGTTATGTGTGTAATTCGTGGTAATTCTAAGGAATCATATAACATATGTGATTATAGAATAATTTACGTTTGCGATGTATTAACACTAATTCGATATTCACTTGATCACGTGAGCGATCCCCTCATCTATTGGAACAGCTGGTTGTGCGTCAAAAAAAAGTAAAAAAATGGTCTGTAAACATTTACTTTTGAAGTAAATTGTTTTCAATACAAATGACATTTGTAAAAATATGACTCGACTTAGACTCGATTTGAATTTGGCATTTATAATTCTTTTTCTCCAAAAACATTTTCAGATGTCACACCCAACACCCATACACTCCCATCATTCCCCTGTTGCGGTGACGAATCAAACGAAAATTAATTGCGAATAGAGGTGTATACACAATTTACTCGAAAAATATTAAAAAGTGTAATACCCACCGTAAACTGATAGTCTGAAGTAGTCAGTCAATGGAACAAAGTAGTCAACACGTGACATTTTGATGAATATTTGAATGCCATACAATCTCGCGTCATCAAGAGTCACTTTGTGTAGAGTGATTTGTACGTATCCAGAGTTCGATAAGCGTCCTTTGTATGTAAAACGGCCTTGAGAAGAAACCCTCACCTATGAACGAATTATGAATAATCGGATTGCGAAGGCAAACCTGCAAGATCATTATTTGCTTGGATTTAAGGACCAGAGTAATGTCCTTCCCAAGCATATTATTCAATTATAGTTTTACTAGACACAATAATACCTCATCTGTCGCCTTTATATTCACTAGTCTCTTGTTTATTATTCCTCCTCGGCGAGTGCATATACCAAACGACATCTCTTCAGGATCTTGGTTCGGTGGCAATTTATATTTCCAAATAAGATCTAAGTTTCTGCCTTTTTGTATTGAAATGTTATCGCTGGGATAGGAGAGAAACTGTTTGTTTCCTAAACGAAGCACGTCATAGGTTTCAAAGATCATGAAAAGAAATCATGAAACAAATAATATACAATGTCAAACTATAGCCTGACTAAATCCAGGGCGGTACTTTACGGAAGGGAGTACAAAACAAAATTCATACTGAACTAACGCTTACAATAAAGGCACAAATTAATAATTTTGAGTAATACAATTCATGTAAATGAGATGCATTTCAAATTTTGCTGCTCACAGAAGTTGTCAAGAAGAGTCTCTCGTGTTGTTGTTGTTGTTGTTGTTGTTGTTGTTGTTGTTGTTGTTGATGTTGCTAGGAACAACAACGAGAGAGACTCTACTTGAAGGGGAATCTAGTACTCAGATCCAACGCGGGTTCTGGAAACAAGATGCTTGCAGGGAAATTTCAAATCAGTTGCAGCCATTCGTGCTAGGGTGCATGATTTATATAAATTATATTCATGATTTATATATATGCATAAAAGTTTTGATATATAACGCGCGCTCTGATTGGCTGACGACTGTGTTTATATCAGAGGACAGAGACGCAAGAGGTCCGCGTTTTTATATTTCTTAAATATATATTGTAGGTTTTAGATGAATATAAATTGTACCCATGCAGACTGAAAAGGCTACTGTACTGCTTCTCATATTTGTCATCTTTGCTTTTATCGTTCCGTTGTGTGATATTCTGGTTCGGTCCTCAAGGCGGATTTTTTGCTTTCACGTGCCCTTTGTTACTGGTACCCATGCTACTCTCTCTTTAATCCTGTCACTTTTTTTTTAGTACTGAAAACTGAAATAACTTTGTTTATAATGATTCGACGGCCAAAGAAAAGAAGACTACAAACTAACTTAGGTTTTGCGGCTGTAATATATCTTTCACTCCGAGACTAATGTCCGGAACGTCTCCAAGTATTTCTTTTGATCTTTTTACAATGTTTTTTTTACAAATGCAACTGTCTTATATTACATATTATTGGGATAACACGCTGACGAGGAAGCTGACTTCAGTTAACATTTGTTGATGACATTTTAATACTTAAAAGTTCGTATTTAATACAAAACTGGCTAGCTTGTCGAAAGTGAAATGTAGTATTTACAGCAAAGCTACCCACAGTAAACTGGCTGCTATTCTATTGAAATTCAGGATGTTTAGGTACATTGATAGTATGTTTGAATGTACTGATCATTGGTTGCCCCTCATTATATGACCAAATTATACGACCAAATTGATCACACGTGATATACTTTATGACTGTATTCGGCCTGATTTTTTATTGAGGATTTTCAGATTATCTCAAGTACGGATTTAACGGATCACTCGCTCAATTGATAAAAAATGTGGATTTGACGAGCTAGGCGATTTTTTTGGCGGACTTTGGCGGATTCCAACAAAACGGTGTTCCCCTCAATTGATGGAAAATAATGTATGTCTTACCTGATACCGTAAAGATGCTATCTGTAACAATTGCAGTAAAGAGTACAGTGATCGTTGTTAAGGACATTGTATGTCGAGTTATTTACAAGACTTTTAAACCCATTCTTGGAAAACGCAAATACCAGGAAAACCAGGACGCTAGTCTGATCACTGCGTAAAGAAATATGAAACTAAAACTGGGTGCATCCGTTTCCAGTTTCCTTTGCATCCTCCTCTTTTCCCCGACAAAAGAGGGCTGGATACTTTATACCAAAGATACTAATCCGTTTCAGAATATGTTCTCGTCTGTTTCAAAGGCATTTCAAGGTTAATATGTATTGACTGATTGGGAAGTCCGTATCTGGAAAAATATTTTACTCAAGGCCATGCCGTACGCCGTCGGCAGAGTTGTTAGTCGGGCTAGCCATAAGGCTAGGCCGACTTTAGTTTTACATTTTTGACAATCTATCTATCTATGTTTATAAAATTTTTGATATATAACGCGCGCTCTGATTGGCTGACGACCGTGTTTATATCAGAGGACAGAGACACGCGCGCCGTTTTATATTTCTTAAATTATGTCGCGTTTGCTCACCGGAAGTCTAAATATGAAGTCCGGAAGTAATCCAATCTCGTGCCCAGCGCCCTTGTCCCTCTTACTGCGCATGCTCGACGAAAAACAAGAGCTCTGGAAATATCAAACACCGGAAGCCAGAAACTGGCTATTTTACCCATGCGCAGTAGAAACCCGATGTAACGGCTTTATTTTACTGATTTTGCTCAAGAAAATCGGCTAAATGAAAGCCTTCGAAGTCAGAAAAGGGAGAAAAGGGACTTTTTTAGACCTTAGATGATAAATCTATCTTCTTCGAAGCTATTTTGATATCTATTATGATCAGATAGTAGCAGACAGTGACGGTTAGTGATTAGATGGCGTGACAGTTCGTCGCCTCGTTGTATTCCATTTTATACTTAATTGATCATATTACTCTCAAATTCCTACTTCATAGACTTAATAMATGCTTTTAAAGGAAGAATTCAAGGTGAGGTAGCGAAATACAGAATGATTTAAGTGTTTTTCTCCGTGATATTTTCACTTCCGGCGGCAAGCTGTTTATTTCATGAACCAATCAGAGAGCGAGAAATTTTCGAAATTTCCAGAGTCACTGTTTTTCGTCGAGCCTGTGGGCCTGCGAGTAAGAGGGACAGTGGTTCTGGGTACGAGATTGGAAGTAATCTACAAACTCGGGGTTCCTGTGGCGTACGTCACGTGACATTATATATTGCATTATGGCACTTGTACGTCATATTCGTTGAGCCTACAATCTCGTACCCAGAGCCCGCACTTTTGCCATCGGAAGTCAATGCGTGAGAGACTCTGGAGGAATCGACTGGATTTGCGACGCATGCAAATGAGGTCAAATTTGTTTTCTGCGTTTAGAGCATTAAAATTACAAAAAATGAAGAAGGTTTAGCAAACAACTTAGTTTAGAAACTATTTTTACACCTTTTTAAAAACAAAAATGTGTGAAAACATGTTTGGTTATGCGAAAAAAGGATGATTTTCTTGACTAATGAGGCGAGCGCGCGCTGACGACTTGAAAAAGCGACTTGTGCGCTCGCGTCATTTTCAACCAATCACGAATCGAGAAAAAATGGACTCCTCCAGAGTCTCTCACGCATTGACTTCCGCTGGATGGCAAAAGTTCGATTAATGGGTACTAGATTGTTGAACCTACAGTGTTTTATCATTCTTTACTGCATTTTGCGTGATTTATATACTAATATTTTTTCTTACTGAGAAACATGTGGGAAGAACTGTTCTTCATGAAACTGATTGATAATCGTGAGCATGCTCAGAGTAGTAAAATGTTCATCCAATATTGTTAGTAAAGTTAGTAGGGCACAGGCAGCCCAGAGTTAGATAAACGAGAATAATCAAATAATCAGGCAATCACGTGCACACCTAAGTACGAAGTAACACAACCAAAATTACCATAATTTCCTGGTTTGTTAACACAGGAATACCAAAGTCACATGGTCATGCATATTATCCATAATGCTTTATACTTTACTTGTCACATGGTGCTCTGCTTGTGCTGTCGTTACATGAGACTTTTTGCAAGCCGTTCGCGGTAGACTCACTCTTAAAAAGGTTTTGCAGGAAAATACTAGTTCTTTAGTCAACAGTAATCCTAACAAAATCAAACGCTACAGTAATTATAGCAGAAACCACATGTAAGGACGCCATATTGGAATTCTTTGACAAGAAGACGAAGGATCAGACCTCTACAATCAGCATTGATAAGTTAATTTGTTGTAATAGCAATATTTTATATGTCTAATAAATAGTTTTGTCAATAATATTTTCCCATTTACTGTGTTATTTTTCGCAGTCCTATGTGTTGAAGTTAAGCTTATTGCCATTAATAATCCACTGATGTCTTTAGAAAAGTCAGAAAATAATTGTAATTCATTTGAAAAAGCAGAAAAAAATTGTGTTTATGTAATTATAAGTCATGATAAAAGTTCCATGAATGTATAAAGTCTCGAATATGTCATGTTCGTTGCTTCTGAATGTGACTTCAAACCTGTTGTTGTTTATATAAATATGTCAAATTTCTTTGTCCCGATTAGGTTCCTATTTTCGGATGTTTACTGTACTGGTGCGAGCACGGGAACAAATACGGGTCCAAACATGATAATTATATTCTCACATCCAGAATATTTCCATAAAGCATCTAATGTAACCTACTATCAGTACAGAGTCAGCTGTGCCATTTTATCACGCCACTCGGTAGGCAGTCGGCAGGGTCGATTCCGAGAAGCAGCGACTCGGAGATGTTTGTGCAGTATTGTATTCGGGGGCTAATCGACCTGATTTCATGCATGGGATGTTTTTCGGGCTAATTTTTATGTGCAAATGTTATCTCGGTAAATGTCAAAAATTGCAATCAAATTTCAAATCGATACTTCTGCATTTTACATTCTTCACAGGATAGACTGCATGTAACGCAACGCTGCTCGCACCTTGTACCGTGACATTGGGATTGTTTGCCGAGATATTATCTCATCACATATTTTACTTTCGAAAGCTTGTTATTTTAAGTAAAAATATGATGATACAGGAATGCAATAATCTGGTGAATGTTTTTAGCTAAAGGATGAATATCAGTTTCCATCATATTCCGAGAACTAGAATTTATAATTTCCGGTTGACTGACAGTCCGGTTGACTTAGTTCTTGGAAGTTACATTTTGGGAAATGAGCTTCCAAGAACGGAGTGAAAAACATTTTTTCACCGTCTTTCTATAAAAATACAGCTTTTTTCAGCAACAACGGCGAAATGCTTCAGCGTCCATGGAAGGATAGGCCAGTGGCGGTTTGGTTTGCAACAACTGCACTTCTTCTTGCGTCCACAACAACAGAAGGTAATGTGTTTACCACATTAGAAGCGACTATTCCATCGCTACCAAACGAGTCAGTCAGTCAGTCAGTCAGTCAGTCAGTCAGTCAGTCAGTCAGTCAGCAAAAAATTAGTTGAAGTTTCCCGCTTGTCATTATAGTGTCTTGTTGGAAATACGTGCACTTCAGCAGCAAGCCTAACACCACAATCTACACTGACATTGGGCGAAACGTCTCCATGAAATGGTCTTTCAGAGTCGAGGAGAATCGACCGTACAAGGACGAAGGAAAGCCCTTTGAGCTGATGTTTGGAGACTGGAAGTACCCTGGCTATATCAGCCCTTTCATTGTTCGTATCAAAGGGTCAGTCATCAAAAAGATAAGTGACAAATTTCATTGGAAAGGCAATATATCCAATCGTTGTTCTCAAGACTGTGAATGTGAAATAACTTTGTTCAATCTGACGAAAAGCGATTTCAAGGCCTATGGCATCTTCATCTTTGTGCATCCACATATTGTGCCTCTGCAGCAGATGCTGAGAATTGTCCGTCATAGTAAGTTAGTTTCACTAAATTATCTAATACTGGTCTAGAATTAATGGAGGTTTGCATGAATTGTAAAATGCCAAAAAAAAATCTTTTTTTTTTTGATGTTCGACTTAGAACTTCGTCACGGTACAGCACGACGCAGCACAGCTCAGTTAAAGAGCCGTTAAAGTCAGCCATGCTAGACTACTCTAACATGCATAAATTCTGTATATTTTCAGCTGATGATGCAACTATTTCTGCCAGTCTTGACACAACAAAATTCAAAACACCCGATAGCAAAGGAATCAGGACAAGAGGTCAACCAATCAAAGTCGTTTCTCTCGTGATTGGCTACTATATTATAACATTTATTTATTCTACACTTGGTTACCCTAGTGGCATAACAGCATAATAACATATTGAGGTCTGAAATATAAAAGTTCATCAAAAATAACAGCAAAACTGAGACTGTCACCGCCATTGCTTCTTGCTAGAAAAAGAATATCACAAAATCCCGTAGTCTTAGTTATAGTCTTATGGTCTTTTTTATGTACAATTTCGATAATTCAATATTCACAATTTGGCATAAATACCACAATTTAGCAAGATAGTTTCGCATATTACATTGTCATAAATGGTTTGTATAAAGCTAGAAAACGCGTTTTGAAATATTAAATTGGTTTGAACACGATTTTTGTTAGGCAGTATTAACCCTCTGGCGACTGCCCTATAGGATATCGTTCGAATTCGAACGATTTCCAACGAAGGTTCGAGATCCACTGTATATCTGCTGGGAAATGTTATCTCATCATTTTATTCAATGGTTAATTATAGTGAAGCCGGAAATACGTGGCATAAAATCGATAACGTTTCGCTTGACCCTGTACAGTCTAGTGTAAGGGAATTTTCCCTAATTTCCATAACATTTGCCGAACGTGACAGCCGTGACAGCAGTGAATTAGTAAAGTTTGATCAACAAATCAGCTTTATACCGGCTCTAAACATTTTCTTTGGACCTACTATTACTCAAAAACCTTTTATTTTCTCTTAGAAAGAGAAGGGGTACTAGGAAGAAGAAGTTTGCTAGTTGGCCCTAGGTGCATCATTTATTCTGACGTCATTGCTAGATTTTTTTAAATTCGACTAATGATGACTAATGCAGTGACTCGACAATTCTCATTGGCCTCCAAGCCTACCAGTGCGAAATCAATACAGCAAGATGAATGCCAAAGTAGTGGTAATTCTTTTGGCAATACAACTGCAAATTACTTCGGGTAAGTATGTGTTGAAAATAAATAAGCTTTGCGGCGCTTTTAATAAGTTAACGCTATACTGTGATTCGAAGCTATTCGAGTCTGTTGTTCTCGGTGTATTCGTTCGTTTCTAAAGGCTACAGGTTTAATACTATTGATAGTATAATTTGTTTGTATAGTTTATAAGAAGTGGGGTGGTCATTCTGACCAGTACTATCGGAAATACATGGGAATGACGGCGAGCTAAATGGAAGCGACTACTAAATTTTGTCTTGTTTGTGATTCTTCCTCTCTTTTTGTTTGACTATGTGAGCAAAAATTAATAATCGTAAACTGTGTAATTTATTATTACATTTTCTTTAGGGTTTGTCGTTCTACAATGTAACATCAGTGAATATAAGGGCATGTTAGCAATATTAACACTCACTAGTACGTTGGTAAGCCGGCTTTTTCCCGGTATAGAATACCATGACCTTGCTTTCATCAGGTTGCCGCTGAACAGTAATCCAAAAGTTAAATGCTTCCGGGGAAATGCTAGCATTGTGGTATGCTTAGATTATGGCGTTAAGGATTTATCCTACGTAAACGATGATGTTGTTTATTTTGCAATAAATGACTCTGCTTGTTTTCCAAACGGAACTGAGTTTTCCTGCGTTATTAAAAGAAAAGGCAAAAAGATAAATTCCACAGTTCATGGTAAGTAAATAAATAATCTTTTGATCCACCTGTGCGACCAGTCCCAATGAGGTTAAAAATAACAGTGTCAATATTTTAAAAAATCGGTGTATATTTGATTCTGACTAATATATGAATATTTTCGCTAAAACAAATTGTTCATCTGCGAAGTTCGTTGACAACAAAGCTGTTTGAAAAAAATGATTGACTTGGAGATATTCTGCTCAAATAGAAGAACCCTCAACATAGCTACTCGGTACAGGGCGCCAAAATGTTTTGCAAAAAATGATAGTAATATGAATACTACACGCCTTCTCAGTCTCTTCATAAAATTAGGACTCTGGAGCCACTATGTAAGTTTAATAAAAATCCTACATTTTGGATTTTGGACATAAAGTATCTATTGATTCTTTCAGAGGGAAGATGCGATAATTCAACAGGAAAAAGAAACTTAACAACCGATCATGTTCATCCTGATACAAAGCAGCCAAACTGTACCTGCAACTACGAAAGAGGTGAGGACACAGACTGCCCAGGCTAATCACCTATAGATTTTTACAACTTCGCGAGTATCGAGTGTTACAGAAATCGATCATTATTTTTTCCCTACTTTTCCTCCTTTTTCCTCCTTCTTCGTCTTTTCCTCTCTCCTTCCTAAAAGAAGGAGAGAGAGACAGGAAGACCGACAAAAGTGTAGTCTGCAAAGAATCGCAGTGTTTCCGGAGTTGATATTTCGCCCATTAAGATTTCGCCAACAAATCCTGGCTAAACTTGTAGTAAGAGAATGTCAATACTTATTGTCTAGTATGGAAAAGGATTCTGGAAGGTTTCATCTGACCTCACTACACTTTTTTAGAATAATATAGTGACCCTCAGCCCCTCAACCCCAACACCCTTTTATCCAACAAAGACAATATTATCAATATGAAAGCAGATGTCTCCCATGACGTTGATATCTCTATCTTTTTAGGCTGGGCAATATTTGGAAGAATTATGCTCGGAGTGCTAGTATTCTTAATGTTTTTAAATTTGATATGCATTTGCTTAACAAGACAGCGGACCAGCACCACCTCATCGGCGGTTCGACAGAATGGAATTTCTAGAACATCCAATGTGTAGTAACTATTAGGAAAGGGAGTGCATAAGTTTTAAGTTCTAAAAGAAGTATAGCCTGCGTACTAACATCCGGTTTATTCTCTAAAATAACTCCGTCGACGGTGTTTACGAGTTAACGCTGGATGAAACTAAGGCTAAGAGAAGTAAAATGAAATATTTGTATATATTTAGCAGTATTTGTTCTTAACCTTTTTCAGTGAAAGTAATAAAAGATGGCCTGCCTTTGCAACATGTTGTTACATAAAGCACTGCTGTGCTTGACGAGCAGTATGGCGCACGCTGACTGAAAACAGTTGAACGGGACTTTACAATTCGTAGATTAGGGTATTTGTCAGGCTTGGTGTCTGTTATAAATATAATGTACAATAGTACAATATGAGGTAACTAGTGCTGAGTCATAAGTTGCTCACGCCCTAAAGACCTAGATCCAGAAGTTACAATTTTGGTCAGGAGAGGCAAAAGAAATCAAATGTATATAAGTATATGATATACTTTATAAAGGATATATATACTTTTACTATATACTTTGGAACAATTTATTTTCTCAGTTGATATCATGGGATCATGAATGTGTTATTTTGTTAAATTCTGTACATCTGATTAGAAAAATAACCTGTTCACTAGGTATAAGGTTAGCAGACATTTTTGCTTTGCCTCAATTCTCTTTCTGCCAAGTTTCAAACGGTCCTCGTTTTTTGTCTTTCAAAAGATCGTTTGATAAGCAAAGTGTAATAGAGTTGTCTTCGTATTTCATGGGTATCAAGCGATGTGGCCATATCCAGTATCCCTGAAAGACAAAACACAACTGTTAAATTAAGAGAATATGAAGAACAATATATTAAATGACTAGGTGGTTGCCATGCCAACCTTCATCTCATGAAAAACCACAAACACCCTGTGGGGGAGGGGGGAGGGGGGGGGGGGGTTACTCCCCTATATTCGCTATACGGGGACGTGCCGCCAACCAGGGTATCATTTTCAGCGATTTTACTCTGGAACGGGGTATCGTTTTTAGCGATTTTACTCTGGAACAGGTTATCGATTTCAACGAATTTTCTCTGGGACAGGGTCAGGGTTTAATTCCGGAATTGATGCTGGGTAAAAATTCACGGGGTCGAAAAGTTCAGTCTACACGCAAGCTAGTGCTGGATTTTACTCTGGAACAGGGTACCGTTTTCAACGATTTTACTCTCGACTGGAACAGAGTATAGTTTTCAGCGATTTCACCCTGGAACAGGGTCAGGGTTATGAGGTCCCAGCGGCACATCCCCCCCCGGGCACAAACATCGACAACAGGATTGAAAACAACCAGATATTTGTATAGTATATATTTTATAGGTATTGCTATATTTTTAGTTTATTTGTGTTCACTACTTGCAAAGATTCTTGAGAGAGACACTATATTTCTTTAATTCTTAGCTATACAATGTGTGTCGATATATGCTATATACATTCCCTCAGTTCCCTTAACGGCAAATCCCTACATGTAGCCTGGGTGGCTTGTGACAATGCTTAAGTAACGACAACTAAGTTGCACAGTCGCTTTTACACATGTCCCAGTTGATTTGTTATATAAGTAGTGTTGTGTAATCAATGAGATCCTTTTAACTTTGTAACTTACTCTGTTTGGGAAAATAAAGGCGTTATTCATCGTGACTGGATGTGGGTTGTTACGACGAGTTGGTGATGAAGGGAGAAGTGGTAGTTGCAATGTTTTTGTTTTTCTGAAATCGCGTCGATACGTTGAAGTTTCGAATTTATCAAGTGAAGGAAAGCCATACGGTTCTGGTCTGTAAAAAAGGGAGTACAACAGTATTACTGAAAAAAAGATCCTCTTAGTGTCAAAAATATGAAATGATAATGAGAGGCTCCGTCCTGATTTGAATCTTCTGTATATTTATAGAGGGAGGGAATGCTCGTCTAGAATTGTCAAGTTGACCCCTGATAAAAATATCAATGAATTTCTATGCTGGCATATCAGGAAAAACATAATATGTAAACTGGAAATAGGATTTTTGTCAATTACGGCATTTTGATGAAGGGAAAACATCCTCCTAAAAAGAACCCACCAGTTTAAGAAATAGTAGCTCAATAAACTCAAAGACATCCTAAATAATCAGTCCCCGGCGGTTTCAAGTTTGTGCTAGCAAAAATCCCGCGCAAACTCAGATATACTTGCTTACTACTTACTTTGCGCTTTGTGCAGCTTGTCCATGTGTCCCTTCAAAAGCGTCTTTGTACGAACTTGTACCGACTGCTCTCCGACAGTTAGAATAGGCCAATGTCGCTGTAATCATAAACATGTATATAATATTAATATACAAACCTTTGTACTTTTGATCGCTTACAACTTTTTTTTATTCCCAGTGCCGCAAAACTATCACCGTGTTTTTTGATGGAGGATGTTGCTGTAAAGATGGATATTAAATAGAGAGCCTGTGACGGAATATCTTGGAATATTCGTTATAATGCGGTTCTAACACACACACACTTTATGAATTACCATGAATGTTATTTACTTACGCAGATTTGTGATGTTCCTGCTCTTGTAAGATTTAGGGGGAGTGACGACTTGTTTGGTGTAGTCTGTCTGGTATCGCGATACCACCGGAGTGGCTTTAAATTAGAAAATAACTCTTTAGTTCTATATTTTATCATGATTAAGAATCACGGTGACTGTAACTATAGCATGGTATAATACACCGTCAGGTTAGAAGCTATTAATCAATCATGACAAAATAATCTAAACGATACTTTTGGAATTATCGTTTGTACATATTGGTATTGTTTTAGTTGTTTTTTTTTTTTTTTTGTTAAGTTGTATTATCAGCAGAACGTCTCTACAGTATCTTTAATACTTGCAGGTAAGTTTGATATATCTGAGCCCTAAAGTCTATACTGTACGTACCAAGTGGAGGTAAATAGCGGTTGTTTTGGAAAGGCATCGTGCTCTGTTGACTAAAAACCTCAGAGACAACACTAAAGCAATTACATCCTTTGTTGGAGACGCTTGGAGATCAAATCAAGTCACTTTTTCTGAAGATCTGAGCAAACATTGTTAATATAACTGAACACTTGCAGAATACACTATAAAACGCCATTATGCACAGTGGCAGAAAGCTCTTAAGTAAATGTTGATAAAATCAATATAATCCATTTTGATTAGAATATACTGCTGCTCACACAGTCTACAATCCTACGACCAATAAATCATTATAACGCTTGTAAGCTATACAATGTACCTTAAAAAGGTAAGATATTTACCAGGAATAAATTGTACACTGTGAATTGGTAGCAAAATGTTTGCAGAAAGAAAGCACGAAGCTCTTTTTGTTGTCAAAGTTTTGAAGTCTTATCACGGCGGTATCCAAGGAACAAGTCGCGTGTACTCAATTAGTTTTCGTTAATTCCCGTGATGATTATTGCTGGTCTGTGATTGGTTCTTTTGCTGTGGTATAATAACGCTAATAGTGTTTACAGTACAAAGACACCCCATCACCAATTTAAAATTTAAAAAAAGCTAATTGTTTTTGATGTTTTAGTGATGAATACTTTGCAATAAGACTAATAGAGCTTTACACTACAGAGACACACCATCACCAATTTAAAAATTTAAAAAAAGCTTATTGTTTTTGATGTTTTAGTCTGATGAATACTTTGCAGTAAGCTAATAGAGCTTTACAGTTTTCTCAGAGCAAATATCGGCCAACTAAGCAATAGCTGTTCTATTTCTCTTTTTTTCTATTCAGGTTAGAGGTTGAGGGCACATTTAATCGAACAAATTTTCCATGACAATAGTCTTGATGTATACTGATGTTGACAATGGAAAGTTAGTTCTAAACTGATTCCAAGTTTAACTTGTGACAAACCGAACTGAAACTGATCAGAAAAACCTAAGACTTAAACACTGCGCCTCCTGATAAATATTATAGAAGTCTAGGGTAGCGCATATTTAACATAGTTCAAAACAAAGTTCATAATTAATGAGTTATTAGGCCAATAGAATGAGCCTATTTGGTCACATGCATGGACCTTTATATCTGATAAAACACTCCTTATTAGTATAAAAGTCCATGACCCTAGCAAAGGTCTCAGGTTGTATACCTGATCATTGACCAATGCAGGATGTCAACCGATTTCAGTAAACAGCCAACAGCCCTTCTATTTTACTTTATGCGTATTCAATGTGGGATGAAAATAGTGCTTTGTACAGTGATTCGCGCATGATCAGTTTGCCTCATTTATCTCGAAATTTGTTTTTACCGCAATTTCTCCAAGAATTTTAACGGATTTGAGTTTCAAACTAGTGTTGGAGTTTTTGAAGCCGTTTAAAACACTCGAGATCGTATTTTATCAGGTATAAAGATTCTCGCCTTTTCTCTCGTGTTTTAAACTATACATAAACAGTGTCAGAACTGATGGATATACAATGTGTCTAAATAGTGTGTCTGTTGGGTTTGTTTTCTGTATTTTCCTCCTTCTTGTACACTATATAAGTATTGTCGTAACATGGGTAATTCAGTTTTTATAGAGTACAAACATTAAATGTGTGCAACATTTTCCACTATACTACAAAATAGTGTTAATTAAACAATAGAAAACAATAGAATTAGCATAATTTAGCAGTATTTAGTGGTATTTATGTTGCACAGGTTTAGTGTTTGTACCGGCTCTATATGACAATCAGTTTTTATTATTTTACAACAATATTGCTCGGTTGATGCTGCATACATGTGCATATTATGTGATGATATCACACTTATTTTATTGGAAGTTATTGTCACTTTATTAACAAGTAATAAATATTTTATTACAGTTTTAAAACCTTCGTGTGTGTTATCAAACCTAATCAACGACTTTAAAATTAACCGTAAATTACGCGTGATTTGTAAAGCACACTTTACACATGAAAAAAACAACATTTAACACCACATGAAAAACCGAATAGCTCTGAGCATGGAAGCTCTGTGTAAATCCGAAATTGCATTCATGCATTAAGTCTGAAAACGCTACCGATTTTATCTGAGTTCGTCTCTTAAAAGACGCTGCCATTTTATCTGGAGTTTGTCACTATATTTCCCTTACAAGGACGTTGTAAAAGTTCTAGCTTGATAATTGTAGATACTGTCCACTCGCTCTTGATAGAAGTCTCAATGATGATTGCTGAGGTACACCACTAGACACATGTGATGACGTCGGTCGAGAATTCGAAAGCACAAAATCTACCAACAAACAAAACATAAAAGCTGTCAACAGCTGCAATTGATTAGTCAGCTTTTGAAAACCACTGACATGAATGCAGAACATATAATAACGAGATGGTCAGTAATGATTGACAAATATTAAAATCCAATAAGTAGTATAAATACAATCAATAAAAACACCTGTTGCATACGGCGGTTGTTTGAAGTCTTGTTGATAAATAGATCGTGTTTTATCCTGGCAAACTCGCTGTAGCAGAATCTGGCTGTTCAAACCGTCTACTGTATTGCCAAGAGGCGGTAATCGCTGATATGGAGACCACACGAAATAATCCTATACAAACATCAAAGTTAAGTGAAATTATTGTACCTTTTTCCTTATTTTTTTAAGTGAGGTTGATTGTTTGATTGGTTGGTCGGTTGTTTGGTTAGTGGATGGTTATTAAGTTGGTTAGATTTTTGTTCAATTTGTTGTTTGGTAGGTTGGTTGTTTGTTTGATGTGTTAGGTGTGTATTGACAGTATTTTGACGGTAGTACATACTTTACAGGGGTGCTTAAATGCAGATTGCATGTTGTGAGGGTGAGGATTGTTTTTTCGATAACCAGACGATGATCCATAAGGAACACTCTCTCTTTTGTTTGTAGGAAATCTCATGAAATCTGTTCGATAAGTTGAATCAAGATATGGACGTCCTGACGGGTAGAATTGCGATGTGCGCACTCTGTGAAATTAAAAAAAGAACAATTCAACTCAGCAACTTCTCGGCTTCGCGAAGCATGTTGCAGAGTGGGATCAAGGATTTTATTCTGGATTTGAGATCAGGGATCACTTCAGTTGGCTTTTGGATCACTTAGCCGTCGGGATGTTAGAGATGGTAGCAGGGAATAAAGCTTTGATAATATCTAAAAAAAAAACCCAGATCAATGGGTCTTTTAGGGGATTGTTTTCGGGACGAGTTATGGAGGTAAATGCTTTATTTATTGGACTATATATTCATCCCCTCTAATTAACAGAGGCACGGAAACTCCTTATATTGAGATGTACCTTCCATTAGGAGCTGGTAGTCCGTCTGTTCCAGTATAGCTGTTCGTGTAGGTTGACTTATATATCCAATCCTCGTTTCTCTTTGGATTCGCTGAAACCAACAGAAATATGATTATCAAAGCATGCTTTTCATGAACTACTTCTGACTTCTTCTGACTTGCAAGACTTGCAATTATCATCAGGTATCAGGTATCAGGTATGCCACCAAAAAATAAACGTCTTGCATCTGAACTAGATTTTTCTAAAACAAGCACACCAATGAAGCCTTCTAGTAAGCAAAGTAAATTTCAAGATGAAGAAGAAGAGATTTCGTTAAAATCAATGTACAAAATGCTACAGGATATGAACAAAAAGCTGGAGAAACTTGGAGACATAGAGAGACATCTCGCACGTGTCGACCAGGACATCAAAGATCTAAAAAAATCATGCGAGTACGCTCACGAGTCTTATGAAGAACTAAAAAAAGAACAAGAAGAGGAGGGAAAAGCCATAAGGAAGCTTGAGGAAAGAATTGACAAAATAGAGGAGGAAAACAAAAAGCTAAAGGATGACACCATTGACCTTCGAGCAAGGTCAATGAGGAACAATTTGCTATTTTATAATATACCCGAAGAAGAGGATGAGGCCAGAAATAGCAAATCGCTTATAGAAGGAGTGATCGAGGATATTGGCTTAGATGTCTCACTTATCGAAATTGATCGTGCACATCGAATAGGAAAGAAAACATCGGGTAAGCCAAGACCTATTGTAAGCAAATTCTTACGCTACCAAGACAGAGAAGAGGTCCGCAGAAACGCATACAAGCTAAAAGGCTCCAAAGTAGGGATTGCAGAACAATTCCCAAAAGAGATAGCTGAAAAAAGAAAAGAGCTTTACCCCATCTACAAGAAGGCAAAATCTGAGGGGAAAAAAGCGAGAATGATAAAAGATCAACTATATGTGGAGGGTCAACGATACACTGCAGGGCCACCAAGACCAGGATTATGGGGAAACGCAATATTTCCATGAACAAGTATTTGTCCTTCTAATCAAAACAATATCATATGAATTTAAAAGTATCTTGATATTGGAGTAGTACAACTCAACATTATGATATAAAACAATTTTTTTTTATTTTATTTT